ATTCTTTTGGGTTTTTGGAGATGGTGTCTTGCTGTGTAGCTCAGACTGGCCTCGAACTCACAGCACTCCTCCTGCCTCAGCCTCCCAAGTGCTGGGACCACGGATGTGTGTCATGCCCCCCAACCCCTTTTTATTATTTTAAGACAGGATCTTGCTGAGCCCCTAACTTGCCCAGCTGAGCTTGAACTTGTGATCATCTTGCCTCTACTCCTCATAGTGCAGGGATGACTGGTGTGTGGCAACACTCCTGGCTCACAGAGCTCCTCCTTCTACACTTTAGTGAGGAGTGCATAACTTAGGGCCCAGGATGCAGGGATCCTGGGGTCGTTCGTTATCTGTCTAGAGCCTGGGCGTTGCTTTGGAACGAAGGATCTTCGGTTTCACTAAAGAAGTTTGATTTCTAGCGCTTTTGGTGATAGCCTGTCCTTCTGGTTGACCTTCACTTCCCTCAGCTGGGCCCTGGGAAATGCGGAAAAGCAGGCATTGGAAGCTGGGTGTGTGACAGAAACTGATGGGGAATCAGACCAGTGAAGGGGAGGTGACATTGTCCTCTTTTGGAAATGAGGGGGCTGAAGTACCACTTTTTTTTCAGGTGTGTTGAGTAGGAAATGCTACACTGGGAAGTGTATTGTTGTGGTAGGAAGAAGAGCCAGATCAAAATAAAACGGGCATGGGGCTTTGGAACAGTGGAGTCCGAGACCTCAGGGTGGAAGCCGGGAGGCTGGAGCCTCAGAGCAGCTTTGCCCTGGCCCTTTCTTCCGTCCCAGGGGGTAGAGGACTTCAGCAGGTGTGAGGTTGGAGTCTTCGAACTCACTCAATACTTGGTTTGCATGTTTTATCTGGGAAAAAAAACAGTGATGGTTACCAGACATTGAAGCTTAGCCTTCGGGAAAGTATTTTATTTTGGAGCACACGGTTAATGAGAAACACTATTTTATTACTCTTTATGTCAATTGTATTTTTTTCCCCCATTTGCAGTATAAAATATAAACACAGCCTTTGCGCGTGTGTCTGTGTTACCCAGTCCCTGAAGAACTAGTTTGCATCCATGGGCTAGGCTGTCTAAAATGGTTAGTTCTACCGGTGAAAAACGATGGTATTCTAGCCCTGATGGCTCGACCTAACATGGAAAAATGTCCTAGTGCATTGAGAGCAGACCTGAGGTGGCTGGGTCTGTGGGCCCAAAGCAGTTTATTCTTTCTCTTTTCTTTTTCATGTATGTGTTGATTCGTAGCATTCAGCAGTACGTAACGGTTGCATTCCTGGTGTGGAGTGGGCTTGTGCCTGGCACGGCGTCTCCTTTTTCACCTCCTCCCCTCCAGCCCCCCTTAATGATTCCCTTCTTATTCCCTTCTTGCCTCTCCTTGTTTCCTATTATTTTCTATGTTGCTTTTTATGCTTTGAGTTTCTCATGTAAGAGAAGCCATTCGATATTTAAGTTCTTGTGTCTGATTTATTTCACTAAACCTTGTGGAGTTTTTGTTTGGTTTTTGTTTTATTTTTGTCTTTTTGAGACATAGTCTCACTATACAGTTCAGGCTGGCCTTGAGCTCACTTTGTAGCCCAGGCTGGACTTGAAGCTGGTAGGATCCTTCCTGCCTCAGTTTCCTAAGTGCTGGGATTACAGGTGTGCACTACCACGCCTGGCTTTTAACATTATAGTCTTGAGGTGCAGCCGTTTTCCCTCATTTTTCCTATGTATTTAGGACAGGATCTACAGGCTTTCACTACATAGATCAGATTCCTAGTGATCCTCCTGTTTTCAGGCTTCCAGGGGCTGGGATTATAGGCATGCGCCATCACGTGCAGTCTCTGTTTTCCTTCAAATGCCTGAAGTTTAACCTTTTTGTGGCTGAGTAGTACTCTGTGGTGTATAAATACCATCTTTTCTTTATCCATTCTTCTAAGCTTGAACTATTATGAATTGTGTCGTTGTAAACGTGGGCGTTCGTGAATCGCTGTCCTGTGATGTCCATGATTCTAGGGAAATTTTCTTTCTCGAAACAGAGAAGATGCCCGTCCTAAAGGCTGAAGCCTCGCATTACAACTCGGACCTGAACAACTTGCTGTTCTGCTGCCAGTGCGCGGACGTGGTGTTCTACCACCCCGACCTCCCGGAGGTCGCGCAGGCCCACAAGATCGTGCTCTGCGCTGTCAGCCACGTGTTCATGCTGCTGTTCAGCGTGAAGAGCGCCGCGGACGTGCAGGACCCGAGCATCATCCAGGCCGCCCAGGACCTCTTCGCCGTGACCCGGGACTCTCCGGGTGCCGGCCGTGCCTCCCCGGGGAACCCGCCACTGCGTGTGGTTGTCAAGGACGCGCTCTTCTGCTCCTGCCTGTCCCACATCCTGCGCTTCATTTACTCAGGTAGCACCTTGCACACTCACCGACACACTCGGCGTGAGTGCTCGTGGCCCAGGCTTTCTGCCTTCTGTTCTGGCTCACTTGTCTTTTTTTTTTTTTTTAACCGAATCTGTAAGTGGCTGCGCAGTACATTCCAGCATGACCATCTCAGCCCTTCTTAACTGTTCGCTCAGTCGTGTTCAATACGTGCATGGCGCTGTGCAACGCGCGTACACGGGATGGCACCAGCGGCCCCTCGTGACTTGCTGTGGTGTGACAATAAAACCCTACCTGCTTGGGGCTGGGGAGATGGCTCAGTGGAAAAAGGCGCAAGGGCCTGAGTTCAATACCCGGTTCCGCCAAAAAAACCCAATAACCACTACCTGCAGCCTCAGGCGCCCACCCTTCTGTTGGCGGTCCTCACCCGATTACTGAGCTGCAGGGCTGGGGTTGAATGTGAGAGAGCTGGGGTTACTGGCATATGCCACCACAGTCGGCTGTGGTGACTTTAGGCTTTTTTTTTTTTTCTACCATGTACCTATCTGTAAGGTTCAGTTTACTGATTGTTTTCTATATCCTTTTAAAACTCAATTATATTCTAACTAATAGAAGTTTCGTCTGAGTCATATCAAAAGATGAATCAGAAAAAAAAAAAAAGATGAATCAGTGATCTTACTTCGAAGTGCCTGGTGTACGAATGGAAAGTAATGGATATAAAATAATTTGGGGAGTAATTGTGTAACTAGAACTTTTCTGAAAACTCTCCCTCTCAATTTTCTTTTCCCACATGGAATAATGTATTTGGATAATTTTCATTGGAATGGTTGATTCCAAAAATAATACTAACTTTTTCATATGTAGTTGCAAAATTTTCTTTAAAGTCAAACTAACTAGAAATTCTATTTTATATTGAGCTTTTTCATTTGGGTTGTGGTTACATAATTTTATTAGTTAAAATTTTAATTATGAGGCTGGCAAGTTAGCTCAGCGTCTGAAGCGCCTGCTTAGGCAAGCTTAGGCAGCTGCAGGGGGACTGCAGTTCAATCCCTGGCACCACATGCTGCACCAGCCCTGCCCTCAGGGCAGGCTTAGCTGGCAAAAAAAAAATTGGATTATGGTTTTGAAAAGTATAGTTGTAATACGCAGATATATATGGGTTAAAAAATCACATTTTCCCCCATATAAATATATATGTGAGAATGCACATACGTGGGAATACATATGACCTGAATCTGCACCTGCCCCTCGTCATAGTCCAGACTGGTGCTTTCAGCCGGTGAGTCCCACAGCTCACTGGTGACCTTGCTCACAGCAGATTCGGACTCCACAGGTGGCCTTGGCTGGAGTCCGTGAGTCTTGTTTTGAATGATCTCACAGTTCGATGATTGATTCCCTGGGAAGAAGTGGGGATCCGCCACAGCCTGCAAGTTAAGCTTGGAATTCCACTGGAGGCCACGGAGAGGACCTCTGTTGCCACTTAGGGCCTGAGTCGGGGGCGGGGGCGATGCTTAGCTGAGCCAGGGATGGGAATTAGGAAATAGCGTGGAGACGGGTGTGGAGAGTGTCCCCCACCCAGACAGCCAAGGCAAGAGGTGACGCCGTGTGACAGGTGCAGGGCCCCCACCAAGGGCTGTCGTGACCCTGATGCTGTCGGAGGGTCCAGCAGGTGCCTTGGCTTTGTTCTTTATTCACAGAAAATAACCTCTGACTGCAGCAAAAGTTTTATTTTATTCTGCTTCAAAAGATATAAAGTTATGTTTACACAGTAAAGAAAAAACTTGAGAAATGGATAAAATTCATTGAGAGACAAGCAAAGAAATCACCATTAAAACCCACGTTAAAAAAAAAAAAGGTCTGAACATTAGGAGATTTTATTTTTCCCCTCTAGTCCTTCCTTGTGGAAGTTACTGTTTTTTAGAAAGTTTTTTTTTTTTGACCGAATTGAACAGGAAATTTAAGTCTACATTCTTACAGTCTCCAGCACTTCTTTTCCTCTGGAACATTTCAAAACTTTGAAAGCTTTTCAGACTTTCAGGAGACTTTGCTATCCCTGCTTTCTTGGCAAAAGTGTGGTAGCCTGTACTAAGGAGGACTGGGTAGACGCCCGTGGCCTGGCCTGACCTGGCCTGGCGGGGATGTGTCGTCCCCAGCAAACAGCAGCTAAAAAATCACAATAACTCTATTTCCTGCTGTTCTCCTCCCTACCCCCTTCTAAGAAGGATCTAAATAACAAAGAGCATCTTATTTCTTTTTAAGTAACATACTTATTATTCTGAAGGGTTCCAGATTTTGTATATGTTACATCATATAATATATATACACCGTGGACATTTAGTCTTTTATTAAATAGTCTTTTATTTATAATAGTCTGGTTAATGTCTTACACCTTCAGTTTATTTTCCTGATCAACGTTTTGAATGAATGGTCACCATCTATGTGTCCATCTGGGTAACATCTGTATGCATTTTCCACTGGATAGGCGAGGAACATGGTGTAATAGGTAAGTATTGAAGGTCCAGTGCTTCAGGAAGAAGGACCACTGGCAAAGTGCCACCTGCAGTTTCCTGGTTTTCTGGGAATAATCCTTCTGAGGATACAATTGTTAACATTCCTACAATACTTGACACAGTCTTGTGCTTACAAATTCCTGAGTCACATGATCTCAGAGAGTTAGGAAGTGAAATCTTTGTAAGTGCCTCAGGAATGCAGCTTTGAGCCCTCCCTGTCACAGAGGGCCCTTCGAATTTCCTGCCACATGCTTTGATGCTGCCAGAGTTGATGAATAGGTAGCACTGAGCTTTCATGTTCACTTTGCGCCGCGTTCTTCGCTCTTGGACTTTTTTTTTTTCTTGGATTTATTCTGTAGCATGCTCTTTTCAAACACCTTAGTATTTTGGAGACAGGGTCTCACTATGCAGTTCTGCCTTGCCTTGAACTCGCTTTATAGCCGAGGCTGACCTTGAACACATTAGCGATCCTCCTGCCTCGGCCTTCCCCCAGTGCTGGGATTATAAACGTGAGTCGCCATGCCTGGCCCATTCCAGTGTTTGTGATGGGAGTTTTGATACCACAGAAATAGCAAGTGCTGCACATCAGGGCCCAGGCTTCCCAGGACGCACTGGAGGCCCAGGAGAGCCAAGAGCTTAGGGGCTCAGCTGCAAGGGCTTCCAAAGCCTCTGGATTAGTAGTCTGGCCCCTCTGGTCTACTTTGCTTCAACTAGTGTAGGTTGGCTGCAATTGCTGGTCTCTTTGCTTTCATATGTGTGCACTGGGTGGCCTCCCCATTCCTCAGCCACGAAGGCATCAGTAAGGCGGTGGATGCAGGCAGGAAACAGCAGAAGAAGTGGATTGGGAATAGAGAAGGACCTGAAATTACCCAGCAGGGTGATGTGCCTGCTTAAAACCGTGCCAGTTACTAGAGGAGGTAGAGACTGGGTCTCCGATCTGTGCCCCCCACGCTACACTTGTACAGTTATACCTTAAGGAGTTAGGGTTTTCTGGAGTCTTCGCAGCACTAAGGGCGATCCCTTGGAGTGTCACCATCAGAATCCAGCTTCTGAAGTGTCCCAGCATGGAGTCCAAGGGGGGGAAAGCATGTTAGGGAGCAGGGCGGTGGGTTAGCATGCTGCTCAGGCCAAGTGGGGGACACTGAGGAAAGGCGATGCTTCCCTGACTGTGTAGTAGGAGTTTGATAAGGCACAGAGGAAAAGGGGTTGACAGTGCGGGAGGCAAACTGAAGGGAGCCAAGGAAGGGGTGGTTTGAGGAGGGCTGGGGTAAAGAGAAGAGTAAGCGGGACAGGTGGGGTGGTGTTGCTTGGGGCCTGGCCAGTCAGCGCACCAGCAGATGACCTTGCAGCCTTCCTGAGTCTGGTTCTGCAGGCGTCTCAGCATCCATCCTGGCCTGCTTGTGCGCAGGAGCTTCTGGAGGCGTTCTGCTCCGGCTGCACAGCCCTCTGCCTGATGGCTGTCACTGCTTCTTCAGCCTGTTGAGTTCAAACTTGGGAAGGACCAGCACTGTTACAGAGAGGTGGTGGCAGGCAGGGGGAGAAGTGGCAGAGTTTCACAGATAATTTCAGGGAGGCAGCTGACTGGTCTGTTGAAAACTCAAGAGTTATTAAATGTATGTTTGTGTGTGTGTGTTTTAATGTATTTGGTACAAGGTCTCACTGTGCAGCTCAGACTTATAGTGATCCTCCTGTTTTCAGTCTGCCCAGTGCTGGGATTACAGGCGTGCATCACTGTGCCAGGTTTGGTGGCCGGCTCAGCACGCCTGGGGGTGGGGTCAGCACAGCCTGTGGTGCTGGGGATCGAACCCAGTCCCTGCGCTTGCCTAAGCAGGCACTTAGTCTGCTGAGCTATCTCGCCAGCCCTGTGTCCTTTAATTATTAGGACATATGTTTGGTAAAGAAAAGTTAAGAGAGCTACTGTACCTGGACAAGAGGATTCAAATCTAGTAAGAGGTTTAGTTTTCTTATCCCCTGCTGTGGCCAAGGAATATAACCTGTGCTGATTCGTTACAGGTGCTTTTCAGTGGGAAGAACTGGAAGATGCTATCAGGAAGAAGTTGAAAGATTCTGGAGATGTGTCTAACGTCATTGAGAAAGTTAAATGTATATTAAAGACGCCAGGAAAGGTAAATTAATATGTTTGACTCTTGCATTAATAGCTGATATACTATGATGAGGACATTTAGCCTTTAGACGAGTTAAAGAATATGTACATATTAATTTTTTTCCTCTGATTATATTTTTCCATTTAAATATTTTATATAGAAATGCTTGTTATTGCTCACTTAGATTTTAATTTATGTGATCATTAAAGTTGTGTGAGTCATGTCTTTAAAGAGCTTGTTTGGGAATTCCATCTTGTGGAACATCCTGACTACATTCTGGAATCCGTGGTCCGCATCAGGAATGCAGGGCTGCTGGCTTAGCTAGCTCAACTTACGCTTCTGGGAGGGGCTGCTTCCCGATCCTCACGGTTGAAGCCCGAGTAGTTTCAGGAACAGGGCAGGAATTCTGAGAAATGTATTTCCCCAGGTAGGCAGTTAAGTATTCTTTCAAGCACAGATTCAAAATTATAAACGAGGGTCAAGATTATCCCTTTTATAGAGCCATAAAATGTGCATGAAAACTCCAGTGACTTGGATTGTAGAGTCTGTGGGGTCTTAATAGGTAGATTTGTTAAATTTTAAGACAAGTGTGTTGCACAGTTTAGCTAGTATGTTCTTATTTCAGATTGTGATAAACACAGTGACTATAATAAAAAAGATGAGTGGTATACGTGGGTGCCAGAAAAGGGGATTACATTAAATATACAGAAAAGTAAATTCCTTCCATTTTTTTAGTACAGATGACTTTGTTATACAGCTTAAGTTATATTTTCTAATTAATAGTTTTAAAAATAGATATTGTATTAAATTTAAATTTATTTATTTATTTATTCATTTATTTTTACAGAACCAGGGATTGAACTCAGGCCCTTGCGCTTGCCAGGGAAGCACTTAATCTACTGAGCAATCTCCCTGGCCCCTAAATTTAAATTTAATGTTAGATCCCAACTAGTCTTCACCTTTTAAACAAAGCATCATGGATTGAAGGGCCCAGAACTTTGCTTTGCCTCACTAACTGAAGCGAGCATTAGAAAGCCATCCGGTTTCCCAGAGGTCTGGCCGGGCAGCAGCCCCCTTGCCACCCAGTTCAACTGAAGACTCCTTCTGCGGAGCTGTGCGCGTAAACCTTCTGTTTTACAAAGCAGTCTGGTTAACTCGTTTATCAACCGTGCATGTCACATACATCTGTGTTCTCAACAAATATCACCTTCTTCCTTATTTTTCTCAAATTTACAGAAGAGACAAAGGAATCTATGTAGGTTCCTATTCTCACTGTCTATTACATGCACAGACACGTATATATTCATAAATAGACATCTACATAAAAGCCGTAGTATTGTTATTCGTAGCATTCATATGAATGGAAAGGGCAGAAGTTTCACTTTTGTTCTAAAGTTGGGCCTTCCTTGGGTCCGAATCTCTACACGGATTTTTGAGTACTGAGAAGGAAATGGATTCCCCCTGGGAAATCTGGGTCCCCCGCAGGATTCCATGATACTGAACTGAACGTCCCTCTCCTACAGTGGGAGGAAAGAGTTCTTCTACCTTTCTGTCCTGTCCCATCTGCTGAACGTCACAAAACGCCACGCTGAGTGGGGACTCACCACAGTTCCGCAGTGTGTATTGTGACATTGCATGTGTAGGCTCCAGGCATGGACTTTGCAGGGCCCGGATCTTGCTCTCGGATCCCACTCTGGAGTGGTTTTTTTCTCCGTTGTGGGGAGGAAGAGAGTCATCCCATGCTCAAGAGATTTAAAACTTTACACTGCAGTAGATTAATGGAGAGTGGGGAGCAGGGGTCATTAATCCTGACTGCTGCAGTTACTTGTCAGATTATTTCTTAGGCATCAAGTTTTCTGATCTCCCCATCTGCGTAGGCAGAAGGGCAGAGAACTGCCCAGGACTAGGGCTTGGAGATCCAGCCAGGGAAAAGGGTGGAGCCATCAGAAATGAGTAAAAGAAGTATTGCAGAATGAGGGGTTACCTACTCCCCTGTGAGGTGACATTCCTGATAAACCAGATGCCGCTCAGAATGGCTTATGGCTGCTTCGTCTTTTGGGCAGCTCTACTCTCAGGTGTTGCTCAGGCTTTTTTCTCTTGCTCACTATAAATAAATTGAGGTAAAATAAAAAGAAAAGAAGTGGATGGAGCGCAGGAAACGGAAGGCTGCCTTCAACTCCTAGAGTTGGACTGAGTTGGACTGAGAGATAAGAGACGTCTGGAGAGAGAGACCACAGGCAGGAGAAGCAGGGCAGCTGCACCTGAGAGAGACAGAGGCTGTGTCCCCAGGCTGCCAGGTGGAGCAAGCAGGAGGGAGGAGACAGGATGAAAGAGGCGTTTCCAGAGACCAGGTGGCTTTCTCTGGATGTCTCCAGTTCTGCTGTGGGTCAGAAGCATGCTTGGAAGATAAGATCGGCAGGCAGGATGGAGACGAGCCAGCTTGGTGTCGCGCTCAGGCATTTCGTTCACGTTCATTCCTTTAGGAAACAATGGAGAGACCCTGAAGCATAGAAAGACATGTGTGATACCGGGAGAATGCATTTTCGTAATTAAAAATTAAATTTTTTGCCTATGTGTTTTCCTAATGAAAAAATCAGACAGGCTAGCCTGGCCAGGTGGCACACACAAGCCCTGTGAGGTTGAGGCAGGAAGATGTCAAGTTCAAGCCCACACAGCTTAGCAAATTTAGCAAGACCCTGTCTCACAATAGAAAATAAAATATAAAGGGTCCGGGGAAAGTAGCTCAGTGCAGAAGCCATGCCTTCAATCCCAGCTCCCCACAAAGAAGAACCAGAAGTTCTACAGAAGCCCATTTTGCTAGATACCCCCAAGTCAGACTTGTTGGCAGACTCTGGGGCAGACAGGTCGCTGGCTCACGGCTCGTGTCCTCTTGGCCGGTTCCCGCGCTGCTGCTGCTGCTGCTGCTGCTGCTGCTGCTGCTGCTGCTGCTGCTGCTGCTGCTGCTGCTGCTGCTGCTGCAAACATCAGGAGGCGAAGGCTGCCCTGTGCCAGGGGCACTGGGGGGCCACGGTCTCAGATCCCCGGAAAGCTGGCGTCACAGTCCCCATCGAGGAGCTCCTTATTTCTTCAAAGATGTCTAGTCTTCTAGGTTCTCACACCAGCCCATATTGAAGTGGACTGAACAACTGCCCCTTGTGTCTGTTTTTTTTTTTCCTTATAGATTAACTGCCTAAGGAATTGCAAAACTTACCAAGCCCGAAAACCTCTGTGGTTTTACAATACTTCCCTCAAGTTTTTCCTAAATAAACCAATGCTTGCTGATGTTGTCTTCGAAATACAAGGTACGGGTCGACTTCATTAAGTTCCTTATGTATTTTTATTTCTTGTCGCTTTCCTCACTTTCTGTTTCAGGTTTGACTCCCTAGGGTGAAGGAAGGACAGTTACCTATTGCAGGACAGAGTAGCACCCCACTAGAACTCAGCAAAATCCAGAGAAATACAGTATTTTTATTTTAAAAAAAATTATATTATTTCTCTTTTATTCAGACAGTGAAGTTAAGCTTAACAGCCTAAGTTGTATGGTAATAACAATAAGCTTGTCTTCTGGATGGTTAACAACCAAAGTTTGCAGACCAAAATTAGAGAAAAAGGAGGGCCACAAGGGAAGCCAACATTTTGGCCCTAGCCTTCCAAGGTCAATTAAGACTCAGGACATGAGAACTTGTACTGTAACGTCATGTAACTCGGTAGTGTCCCAAATTTTCTGATCAAGGAGATTATGGAGCCAAAGAGGAAAGTGATCGATGATGTAGAGTGTGCCTGAGGAGAGTCACATGGAGAGAAAACATTCTCTCAGGCTTTCACAGAGAGCACATTGGCCAAGCAATGGCCATGTCTCATCCACGTGGCTGACACTGACAAAGGCTCTACAGTCTGAGGTACAGGATCTCAGGAAAAATCCTGAGGGGATTTGACTGACCTTATCAGACCCAAAAGCTACAACTCTTGTTGCATAGGTCCTGCTTTACCTTGGTTTTAACCATCCAGCAGAAAAGTATAAAAACGAAATATAAGAAATAAAGCCGTGCTGTTATGTTGAGCTGTAGGGGACTCAGGTCAACAATTTCTGACATTGCCAGTCAAGCAGAAGACCCAATACTATTATGGGCTACGGTACTCTTTTGGAATATTTTGCTGAGTTTACACACCTATAATATTAAAATAACAACTTAACAAAAAAAGGGTATACAGATGAATGTCTATTTTGTATCTGTGTATTCAAAGTGGTTAGGATAGACATTCTCTTAATGAATAGAGGGATTTGTTCTAATGGTGTTTGTAAATAGGATATCATGTCCGCATCTTGTACAGCAGTTAACCACTAGGAAGAATGTATGCAATGTGTTAATTATTGAAACTGTCCTACCAGTTTGGTTTGAAACTGTCTCATTGCTGTTTGTTTCTCAATAAAATAATGGGGAAAAATTATATTATTTCTCTTAGTATTCCCCCCTCTCCTTCCTGTATACTTCACTAATGGGGGATTAGCAAAAGATGGGGTGACTGGTCAGATGTATTTTTGTGTATTCCTTTAAGATTCTAGTTTGGGTTTTTTTTGTCTGAAAATAGCTCCTTTACAATTTATTACCACTCGCTATTTTGTTCCTTGCTCTCTATTTGAGAGAAAGGAGCTGAGAGTGTGGGGCACGCCGGGCCCACCGCAGCCGCCCACAGATATTGCGGCATTTATTTCTCACGGTGAGCCCTGAGCACTGTTTCCACCAGGCAAGTGCAAGCTGCATTTATCTCCATGGGAAAGGACTGCTAGTCTAATTGTAATAAAGAGGAGCTGTTGGAGCGGCCGTTACCGATCGCTCACATGGATAGTTCTGCCGCTGTAGTACACGGAAAGCCTAAGCTTAAAACTGAGTTGTGAGATGCCTTCGCTTCTGCAAGAAGGACGTGGGGAGTGGCTTCCAAATAAATTAAGTAGAACTTTTGAGGGGCTGTTGGCAAGAAGGCATCATTCTAATTTTATGGTAGAAATGTATGGCGGGTAACGTGGTCATTTACTTTTAAATGTCTTTCCCCAGAAAGCTTCGTTTGCTTTTGACTTTGGTCACTTGCCAAGGCAAACAGTGACTTGGGAGCTTGCCAAGCACCTTCAGCACTACTCTCAGCACCTAATGCAGCGTGGCCCTGGCGCCCTCAAATGGGACAGTCTGACCTTGAAATGTACATTGAAAAAGAAATGGAGAGGGAAAAAGCTAACAAGAAGTTTCACATTTTCTGTAACCTTCTCATCACATTAGAGAAACATAAAATGGACTCTGATTCAACTCATAATACGATTACACCTTGATTTAGGAGATGCAAAAGTAAAACCCAAAATGTAGCCCTAAAGCCAGCTTCCATAAATTCTTCATTATAGGTGGAATAAGTCACATCGGTGAGAAAGGCTCTGGTGATTACAGAATTTCCACATGAGCTTGCAGGGTGGAATTCTGATGGTGAAAGGGGTTACTGAAAGTGCTTGCTATGGTCTGCCCCTATAAAAGAAATACAGGAGACATAATTCTGTAGCAATTATCTAAGAAGCTCTGCATTCCAACAGAAAAGACTACGCTCATTGTTCAGAAGAAATAAAACAAGTATTTCTATGTTTCTAAATTTAATTTTTTAAAAAGCTCAATTTTAGAAAATTGGAAGGATAGTGTCTGTCTTCTGAAAGAATGTTGGGGAGGCTGAGTGCTCTTTTGCCCTTGACTTCCCGGGAAGGGGAGGGCCGGGGAGGGCCCCCTGCTGCGGCTGCCCTGCTGGGGTGGACTGCACTTCTGCTGAGTAGACTACAGGACCTGCGGGTGGGGGAGGGCCCTGGATGGCGGCTGGGGCAGGCTTTCCATAGGGTGAAACACAAGTAGGGATCCCAGGCCACGTGGTGAAGAGAGCGTCCTGGTGTTCGCAGCCTGGCTGCGGAGTGCGAGGCCTGCTTTCCCCAGCGGGGGAGGGTGGTGGGGTCTTGGTCAGATGTGGTCGGATGCTCTCCTGGGACGCCTCTTCTTCCCACTCACGCAGCATTTGATACCCTCATAGTGGCCGAAGAGGTTTGATGTCTTAAGGCACAATCAAGTTCTAGCCCTGAGATGTTTCTGGTCTTTTTTTGTTTTTGTCACCTAGGTATCCTTGATTGAAGTTTGTGATGTTTTCAAACCCCTCATTCACATGCAGATGTTATCTTGGGTCTGTTTCCCAATGAGTGTCAGCGTGCGTGTGTGTGTGTGTGTGTGTGTGTGTGTGTGTGTGTGTAGAGAGATTATGAGAGAAAGTCATCACTCAAGTTTTGGAGAGAATATAACAATTCCACTAAGGCAGGCTCTGGTGTTTCCTCACTGGGTCCCCTACGGCCCCTAGAACAGTAACTGCCTTTAATAGTTAGACAAATAGTCCTGAAATTGGGAGTCAGAACCCAAAGCATAAACACTGTTCAGGAAGGCTGTGCCTCGCAGTGAGCCTGCCGGAGCAGGGAGGGTTGTCTCTGCGGGCTGTCACTTGTGCACACAGTTTGAGAGCAGCCTCCCAAGGAAATCAGAGAACGTGAATTTGTGGCTTATGATGAGCATGGGACGCATTGAGACCAAGCGTGGTTTTTAACAGGAATGAGTACACAACGCATGTTACCTGTCACTTTAAGAGAAAGGAGAGCACCGCTTCTCCTCAGAGTAGGAGTTTCCTTCAGTTCCGTCACCTCCCAACCTCTGGTTGGCTCTGCACACCACCCCACGCGGTCGGTCGGTCGGGACGGCCAAGTCAGCTGGTTCCCTGTCATGAGAGCGTGCAGTGGCTGCTGGGGGGCGATTCATAGCCTTCCCCACCCAGGACCCAGATTGGGAGCAGAGAGGAGCAGGAATGGATGGAAGGGGACCTGGCTGCAGTTGCTCTGCTGTCAGCTGTCGGGGAGGATCCTCAGGAAGTTGGCCTGGGCATGGAGTCCCAGCTCTCACAATGGCATTTTGTTTGGTTTTGGTTTTTTGACAGAGTCTTGCTCTGTTGTCCAGGTTGGACTCGGATTTACCGGGCTCTTCCTGCCTCAGCCTCCCGAGAGCTGGGATTACAGGGGTGTGCCACCATGCCCAGCGGACTTTGGCTTTGATCCCAACCCAGGGGTCTTTGTGCAGATCACTTGACGCGCCTGGTCTGGTCTTTTCCGTGGTCTCATTGGTGACACAAGGAGGGTGAAGCCCAGGGATCTGAAAGGCCCTTTCTGGTGGTGGGCTTGCGTGACTCACTGTTGGCCGTCCCTTTGTTCTTGGCACCTGTAGGTAGCAAAGATGGTGCTAAGGAGAAGTTTTGAGTTGGAAGAAGTTGGGTGAATCTTGGCTCCTTTTCAAGGTTAAATATGTGTCCATCATCCCCCTGAATGGAATGGAGTGGATTTGAACTCACTTCCATGTGGTTACATTAG